CTATCAGAAAAATCAGATGTCAGTCAAATTCAACTTACTATTATGCACCGAGCAAACGGAAATTGGTACAAAAGAGTAATAAGTAATTGATGTTTTTAGAGAGTGTGTTAAAGGTGCTATTGTTATACTGTCCGCCTCAATATAGCAGCATCTGCACGTAATGCTTTTCAGTAGGGATGCCAACGGTCTATATTTTTGTAGAGAAAGCCCTTATAATTACTTACTTCATGAGCAATTCTATTTTAATTTGATATCTTTTTACCGAACGGTACGCTAGTTTGTACTAACTTTATGACAGGTTAGGTCAACGACGGAAGTTTTTACAATGGTTTATTACATCCACACGATTTTGTTCATCATAAAGAATAGATGGCGATGGCCATAACTGGCTTAACAGTTCAAAATACAGTTGAACATTCATTTACGTCGTGAATTATCCTTATATGAGACAGCATTTTACAAGACATACTAACCTGTGCTTAACCCCAGAACACCCTCATAAAATCTAAGTTAGACTTTGCAGCAACTACATGGTCTTTTAGAACTTTTTTATAGCCCCTTGATTGATACTATGAAGGTACACTTGCGAGTTTGGGTTAAATGAGAGTTGTTATCTAAAAACAGATATAAATTTATTACGAATGCTTTATAAAGCTGTTAACTTGGTAGAGCTTGAAATAGATGCAATACATACAGTAGTCGCGCGAGCAGTAGTACAACGATATTACATGGAGTTAATGACTTGATGTTTGAGAGGATGTTTACTAATATAAACAAACTTAATTATCACTTCGAAAAGTTCTGGAGCTTCTAAGTTCCGTCATAGTCTGTAGCTTGAGGTAAGATTGAGAACACAGTGTTCCTTGGAAATCCTTTGCCTGGAGCGCCATCCCGCTGATACTGCGCTTGGTCGGTAGTTCAAATAAGCAAACATGCCGCATTTAGATTCATTTAAAGAAGTGAGGTTTAGTCAGAAAGCTTTATTGCATCTTGTCATGATTTATGGCGAGACCGAACTTCGTTGTATTTGTTATCTAGCTCTTACTTAGTTGAGACAGGACTGAGGAGCCGTTGGTGAGAGTTGCCACAAAAACAGGATGTATTACAAGTTTTGCATATG